CCTGAAGCCACTAGCGAAAAGGAGAACAGGACCTCAAACTCCTAATTCAGAAGGCTACACTTCTTTCTGCAAACTTTCTGCTAACTTGGCAGAACACAAGGAAATCCCTCGTGTGACCCAAACCATTTTTAAAGTCCTGATTTTTTACTCATTACTGGTATCACCATATGAAGCTTCTTTTTTGCTTGTGCACTTGTCAGCTCGGAAACTAAAATTTGATTAGGTAATTCCTCTTTCAAGTTCTCATACACCAGACCAGCTTGTCTAAAATTCAAATGTTATCAGTCTGTGTAAAAACACACAAAAAAAATTCCAACCCCGAACCAAGATGAGTTCAAATTATATTAACTTGTAGAAGGTTGGCACTCTCTGTTGGAATCAACTGCACATTCATTATTGGCAAGCTCACAACTGCTTCTTCCTATAGCTTGTTCTCTCAGGACTTTCACTAAAGGTGTGCTACAGATTAGAGGCCAGATTGGTACTTCATCATTTCCTCATTTTCCTTTAATTTCCTTTCTTCTGTTTCATTAATTCCTTCCTGATTCATTCTGAAATTGGTCATATTTTCCTCTTCTCCTGTATTGACAGTTCCATGTCCCAGACAAGGATTCCCCAGCAGAAGAGGCCACACAACACAGTGTCCTTCAGAGTCTTTGTGTGACAGGATCTGCCCACCAGAACACCAGAGAAGTGGCCATTGCAGCCACAGATGCTGTTGCTCCCTTGCACGGAGCTGCCTGGAGATGCTGCAGTGGCTCACATAGCCTGGCTCCAGCACAGAATGAGAATAATGCTTTGTTGTATGAGCACTGTTTTTCTTCATCTCTGACTCACCAAAAATTAATGGAAAAACCTGATGAGCTTTTAAAACACAATTTAGTTTAAACTGTGTTGATCATAGAGCCCCTTAGACTCCCAAGAGATCCTACCTGCTTTGTCATGTGTGCTGTGTAAATTTACACAGCAGTCTAAGAGTATGATTACGGCTTGTGAAAATATGCACAGCTTTACAAATACATGCAGTTTTAAGCTAGCTAGCTTAGTGAGTGTGCCAGGTATCTTGCTGATATTGATGATCAAATAAAAGGTTTTCTTTCTTGGTCAAGCCTCCATGGATGGCATTAAAGATGGATGATGTTAAAACCCAGGTGTCCAGAGAGCTGTGCACACAAGCTGGCCACGGAGTGCAGGCTTAATTAGGCAGTTATGTTGTACAGAGCCAATAAGACACAGGAGTGAAAAATCTCAGGAAATCCCAAATTCTATGCTATCTGTAGCTAGTAGGTTTTTTTCACATTTAGAGGAGGGTAAATAGATGTAGACAGTAACGCTTGCAGAGTTTTCCAAATAAAAGAAGACCATTTGCTTTTCTGAGTCAGAGCTGTGTATAATGAAGACAGCGCATGTGCCTTCTTCCTTGTAAGAAGCAAGAGTCAAAGAACAGTTTTCTCCAGCTCCTGCCATCATTTTGCTCCTGCACTGCTGAACACCTGATTCATTCAGCTTCTTGGCTGTCCTCCCAGCACTTGCTCAGGTGCTTCTTTCATCCATCTCCCAGAACTGTTCCTACGGATTATTTTTTCTGCCACACTCTTTTGCTGGCACACCCATCCCTCCCCAGGAACCATACCAGCAAGCCCTTCTGTTCACAACAGCAGGTGATTTAGTGATATTATTTTTTTTTTGGGGGGGGGGGCTGTGTTTCAGGTGAGACCTGCAAAAATTTTTCAAAGACAGAGGAAGGAGTTAATGAGCAGCCAACAGTAACAACTGGAGTAATTTGCTCTATTAAAGAACGAGAGGATTTTTATGCTGTATGTGCCAGTTACACAGAGAGATACAGACACCATGGCAACAAGCTTGTCAGGCAGCAGCAGGGCACTACTTTAAGATTAACTATCACTAGGGACATCATTAGTGGTGGAGAAACTTCAAAAGCTTTGGAATTTTGGTTCCTCTTGCAACCACAATCTCACTTGCTTTTATGAACTTCATTTGAATTTCCAGTCTGTAAACTTAAGATGGGATAACAATATCAGCAGACTGGGATTTTGGATACATCCTCAATAAGATGGTAAAGAAAATCATGTTCATAATATCTCAGCATTTCCAAGCCCGCCCAGTTGTTTGAACTATACAGAAAAGAAGAACCAAAACATACAGTTGAGTCAGATTCAGCAGGATTGTCTGAAGTAAAGGAATGAAAAGGAGTTTGAAGAGGACTGTACCTTCTGTGCGTATTCATTAGCCACGAATCTGACCATTACCTTGTAGTGATGTGAAAGGAGAGATCCCTCTGCAGATCTCCCATTCTGGGAATATGAGCAGGTAACAAATAGCTGCCTATACAAGGTGGATTCCTTTTATACTTCTAGCTCACAGGCAGAATTCCAAATCCCAGTGAGTGTCTTGCACCTCGTACAAATATTTACAGTGGTGCAAAGCTGGCATCAGTTGCTGATGTGGTAAGAGTTACACCAACGGAAAGTTCTTCTGTCAGGAACCACAAGATGATTAATATCGGTCTAATATAAATTATGTTTTAGAGGAGCGATGTAGAGACTTCGAGTTTTCAGTTTAGTAGTCTGCAGTGCACATGAAAACATTTCTACAGGGAAGTGGAGAGTGAAAGAAAAGCTTTGAAAAACCATCAAAGAATTTCTGTGGGGTCTCTTCTGCCCCCACCTCATTTATAAGGTGTTGATCATGCCACTTAGCAAGGTTTTCATTGTGACAGAGAAGGTATCACAAATAGGTGAGCCTTTGTGTTTTACCTGCATTATAATTCCCCATAACTGAGCTACTCAAATCTAACAGGAGCAACCAGCGCTTCTCAGATGTGATAACGAAATATGGCCAAGCACCAAGGTACAAGAGTGCAGGGAGTCCAGATACCCACACCCTGGCTCAGCCCACCAAAACCCACTGCTTCCACAGAAGCTGCTAGAGGCACTTCAGTCAATAGGCATTACAGCCCCATCAGGACTAACTGGGAGATTTAATGAGCACAGACACTTGTTCCTCTTGCTGCACAAGCAAGGAAAATAGGGGGACTTTAATCATCTTTTTGCAGATGCATCAAGTGAAAAAGAGAAGTGTATTCAATCCCTTGAAAGGGCTTATTTTTGAGCAATTGTTGTCTGAAACCTGATACTCAAATGCTGTCCTCAAAGAATAAATGAAAGAGGAGGTGGCTCCTCTGGAGCTGCCTGCTTCCCAAAGATAAAGGAAGATGGAGTGCAGCACTCTGCCCATGCTGTACAGGAGGGTGAGAGTCATTGAGATAACTGTGAGAATTACTGTGGTGGGGGCATCTTGTTTGATGCAAGGGGAGAACTGGGATCATGCAGTGGGTTTCTGTGTATATGAGAGTTTTCCCAGTCCTGTTTAGAGAGGCTTCTCTGTGATCATAATTGGAATGAACTCATGAATAGTGCATGTGAGCAGAAAGCAAATCCGAAGCTGCAAGCTGTTAGCTCACCCTGCTGCATGGTAAGTAAGGAGACGTGTTGCATACTCAAGATATAGGGCAGGGAAGGACAAGTTCATCTTACCAAACAGGCAGAACACTCACTAGAAAATTCTCAAGGTTTTTGAAACCACAGCTTGCCCCAGGCTGCTCTGTTTTCCAGGCAGGTGGAGGTATGTAGTTGTCTATTGTTGCTCAGGAGGCAAATATCTACCCCAAGAAACTGGTGGCAACCCAAGACAGTGGTGTGCATGTCATGGCTGGTGATAAATGGACAGCAACAGCAGGGTAAAACCTACAGTTCCCCACTGGTTGATTTTATCCTGCATCCTGAACTAAAAGGTATTTATTTCTCTTTTACTGGGAGAGGGCTTCCAAATGACAGAAGTGAATACCGTCGATCAGGAAGGTAGAGGGACACACAGCTACAGGCTGTGCTCCCCTTTTAGTCAGACAGCTGTAGCCAGTACTAGCAAGAAATGCTCAGAGATGCCAAACTGAGGCTTGGGGGCTGTCACAAGGCATTTCTTCCTGCTTGAAGAAAGAACTCAGGAACAAGTGGGTGTGGAGAAAGGCAACTCTTAAGCACACTCTTGGAGGAGAGGTAGACAGAGCCTTAGCCCCACGTCTGCCCTGGGGACACAACCCTTTGCCTGCACTCCTCAACTCCCAGGGAGAAGTGTCAAAGATATGTCACCTTGTCAGATCATTACTCGAAGTTACAGAAATACTTTTCTGATTGCTAAAAAGACTCCTAGATTATCTTGATTGCATTGCTGTGCTATTATCTGCTCTTCATAATACCATGAAATTAAACACAGAGAATTTTATACTTTTAAAGGTTTTACAAGATTTTAGGAAAGCATAGCACTGTTATCCAGTGACTATTAGCTTCTTCTCTGAATCATGACCCACATCAGTACATCCTTCATACACTCGAGCTCGACAGCTCTCTACATGCACCTGTCAGATTCCTCCCCCTATGCTTGCCTTTATGAGCTTCTGGGCTTCCATCCTCTTCTCCTAAAACTCCAGACCCCACCTCTGGACACCAAAATACAACTATGGGCAAGAATTCAAAGGAGAAAATGTCAATTGAAGTAACTGTGGTAACTTGTGGAGGAATTGCAATATGTTTACCTAATTCCCTGCTCGGGTTTGGGGCTGTGTCCACACCCAATTTCCCTGGGCTCTCAGCAGCTCATCTGAGGCTGAGCTCTTAACCCCCAGCTTCTGCGGGCACTTGGCATAGCCAAAGAGGACAACTGGCTAGTAAGGGAGTTAGTCAGAGCAGCAACACAAATTTTTGGCCACACTCCGAGTGTGGGCTTCTCTCTGTGAAGCACATGCTGGATATTGCTGTCAGCAGAGATCCCTTTCTGGATTTTGAACTCTGCTGAATTTCATTGCATAGTTAAAAGTCAAATCAAAGCCATCTGGGTCAATCTGTGGTATCTGTGGTAAGTCAGAATTTGCGACAGTTCAGCATAAAAAAAAAAAAAAAAAAAAAAAAAAAAAAAAAAGGAGGTTAGGATTAGGTTTGTTTTATTTATTGGTTTGGGTTTTCGTTCAAGAGTGTATTTACTTTCTAACTGACAGGAGATCACTTCATTTTTAATGGGCTTAGAAATAACTTGCCAGTAATAAAAAACAAGTTTCTGTCTCTGCTTTCCATAACAAGAAGAAGTCAAAGTAGCGATGTTGCATTCAGAGGTCTCTGCTGAATTCATTGATCGTAGTTCAAACCAAAGTGCAGCACAGCCACTGCGGGAGAAGCAGAACAAGAAGTCAGACCATCTGGAATGTCCATAGGGTGCCACCAGGGCACTCCACGATGGCTCTGGGAGAAAAAGCTTGGAAAGACCGTCACCGTGTTGTAATCTGCTTTATGTTAAGGGTCCATCTGCTCTCAAACTTCATGGAAATTCTTTGCCAGGATTGGCTTCAGACAATGCAAGTGGGGCCTCTTTCAAGGCAGGACCTGTTCTGCAGGGCAAGCTGCATGGTCTTTAAAAAATTTGAGATTATGCAACATACACTTTCAGCTAGATTTAACTAACTGTGACTGAAGGTCATGGGGCTTCCTAGCCATCTTGTTCCCTTTCAGTCAGTCCTCATCTGGAAGGATTAATTGGATAGACCTCTTGGGGTCTCTTCCAGCTGTTTCCTGAGATATATTTGTATTCTGCAAAGGGAAGACTCAAGCTGATTGCTTTTATAAAAGTTTCAACAGGAGAAATTTGCATGAAAAATAATAGGAAAAAAAAGAGACCTGGCATTTTAAAAGGCCTCTTCTAGTTCTGGCAGATTGTTCAGTTCATTCTCTGCCAGACAAGAATATTTTCTTGCTGTGTGTTTTCTGATGAGGTGACCACTGCCTTCCAAAGCAGACAGTGAAACACACTGTGTAAGCACCTTCCCAAGAAACCTTAGGTATTTTGAGTATATAAGGTAAACATTCATTCTACTACTTCAGACAAGTCTTCTGAGCTGAAGAGCCTTGCAATATAAGAGATGTTTCCCTTTGAATCATTGTCATGTTTACTACTTTATGTTAAAGAAATATTCTACTCCAGTCCATTACTGGATCTTAAAAAACATGGTATTTTAATCCAACCAACCTCACCTCTGTTAAAGAGAGCTGGACAACACCACTCTTTTCTTTATCTAGGAGACGGAAGAGTTCTGAAAAGGAGAAGAGATTAAAAAAAAAAAAAAAATCAGATGTAAACCACAGAGTTTGGCATGTCTGACAAAATGTAGAGGACTGGCCTTTTGCCACAATCTAGACGGGTTCTGTGAGAGAATACTACAGCTGTTCTTTCCCCTTATAAGTAATTTGTATACCACTTCATAGGGTAGAACAGTTAGATTTACAGCGGCAAACTGAGAGTTTGGCAGCAGGACAAGGACAGCATCCGACGCAGTAGCATCTGATATGATACAGTAACAAACCTGTAAATCAGATCTGAATGAGGACTGTAAGTGATAAATGGTACCATCTGTAGGAGATGGGACAACTTGGTGGGCAGAGCACTGAACATAAAGTGGAGGTAACTGTAAGGCAGAAGATCATGGTAGGTTATGAAAACACATATCCTCACACTCCATGATCATTCAGCCAGTAAAGCTTTTGCTATTTCTCTTCTGATTTCTCAGACAAATGCATTTTTGCTGGCACTCTCCCATTTCTGTGCAATCTGTTACATTCACAGTTAAAAAAATCAAAAATTTAATGAAAACCCAAAATTGTCAGGAATCCCCCTTGACTGACAAACAGATGCACTTACTGAACAGGGTCTCTAAGCGGATCATACAGGCCACAAAACCATCAAAGTCAATGGTCAGCTTGCTGCAGGCATAGCGGATGGCAATGCTGTGCTGCACCTGACTGTTGAGTGTGAAACCTGAAGACATGAGAAGAACAAAAATCACTGCCACAGCAGATTAATATGCTGTCTTTGATGCGACTTATCCATGAACTACTGCAGCTGCGGGCAGAGCTGGATTGAGGACTGTTCCTCCCAGAAGGTCTGCTGGACTCCATCACTCACCTCTGCTGTGGGTCCTTTCCAAAGCCCATTGTGCTGGGTGAAGAGAGTCATGAATTTCTTCCACAGCATTTTGTCAGACTGCATATTTCACATTGTTTCACAGCATAAGCAGTCCTATGTTCCCCAGATAAACCCCTAATTAGTCAGTCTTGGTGCAGCATCTGAATAGCAGTGATTGCAGTAGAGCCAATTGCTCACATAGCACATTGGGTTGTATTCAGGCCCATGGTAGTGATATTTCTGTCTCTGGATCTTTCACATAGACTCCACTGAGCATGGAAGATCAAAAAATAGTGGTTCTGTAGATGCCACTGAGCTGGCTAGCACTGCTCCAAAAAAAGAGGATCTGGCTTGGTCATGACTTTATCACACTTGCACCTTCTCTACTGTAGAGAAAGATGGTGGGAGGAAATAAAGGAAAAGGAAGGCTTGGACATAGTTCTGAAAAGGAACAATTATGTTAGGAAATAATGAGGCCAAATATAGAACAAGCAATAATCAGATGCATAAGCAATGATCGCAGCATGGACAAAAATATCAATGGTTCCAAATGCAGAACAGAGGGTGGGTTTTGATGTCTATAACAGCAAAAGGACATGGCAGTGTGTGACTGTCTGGACAAGAGAATGGCAGTTGCAGTGCTGTGATCTAGGAGATGGGAGAGAAGTAAAGCCGTGAAAAGTCTCTACTGTTCTGCTGGTGCTTGTTTTTAGTGGAGGACAGCATCAATCTGATGGTGTCCCTAAGCAGTGCACTCACCTGCCTCTCTGAGGGCATTTTGCATCTCGTGGGCATCGATGGTACCGGAGTAGTCACTGTCCACCTTCTTATAGATTGCCTGCAGCAGAGGAATGAGGGAATTTGGAAATAGGTCTTCAATTACTTGCAGATACAACCTCAGGTTCCTGATGTCTGGGGCCAGGGGCTGCCCCTACCAGTCAAAGCTCTTTGAAATGTTAATGAGCAAAGGAAACATTTCAAGTAGCTACTGGCAAGTAACGCAGACTGGGAAACACATCCCCATGGGCTGGCAGTCTGCCTGCCTCCATGTTACATGGTGGCAGGCTGTTGAGGAAAATATCCTATCATTTGGCAAACACTGCAACAGACAAAGTCCATTTTGCTTAATATTTCAGACAAGATGACAGATGCTTCCCACTGCCAGCAGGTTTATTATCCAGAATTAGAAACCACCCAGACCTACAGCTCAGATTGGAATTGGCTCTCAGGGCTCACTCTGCAAACACCAGCCCCAGAACAAAGGAGAAATGAATGTCTCTTTGTGAGCCTCCAGGACAGATGCTCTCTGCTGACCACCATCAAGCATGATAGCAGCAGACTTGTCTGAAAAGGATGTTATTAAACAAAGCAGGTCCAAATTTGATGTTCCTTTAGACTGCTTGATTCTGGGTGAACTTCTTGGGATATTATATATTTAGTCAGAAAAATAAATAAATAAATAAATAAATCTGCATTTGTGCAAGGTTTTAAAAATACAACGACAAGTTTTTGATAGGTCCTAAAAATATGTTTCTTGTGCATGCTAGGGCTCAGCTGGCAATGTAACATACCTCAGCAGCAGAGACATGTTCATATGAGCTTTAATACAGCAGGCAGCAGAGAGCTGTCTATGCCAACAACAAAAGAGCATTAATCTGGTTTTCCAGAAGGTACTGTGGATTATGGAGAACCGTAAGGAAGTGAAAGAAGATCTGCTGGTGCCCTCTTAAATCAGAGATGCTTCTGAGCCCTGGAACAAACTTCAGCTCTGAGAAGGAAAACTTCCATATACATATCTTAACCCTTCTCATTGTTCTGCATCTGCACTTCGGAGTTGCAAGAGAAGAGGGAAAAGTCAGAAATGTTATGTTACCAAATACTTTTGAATCTTCATCCAAAGAGTCTTGAATTCTATAAGTCCCAAGGAGCCAGTCCCATTAGTCTGGGTATGTTAAGGAATGGTTCAAAAGTCAGGATTTGTCTATCCTTAGCAAAACATGAGAGCAACCAGTTCAGATAAAAGTAGATCACCCATGCCCACAGCTTTATATTTCCTTAACTACAGGTATGCCAAGAATTTCAAGGCTATATGCAGTCTCAATTAATGATATATGGATTGATAAATGTACAAGCACAATTTTATATAGTTAACAGTAGGTTTAGGTCCTCTGGAAAACAAAGGATTTTGGGGAAAAAAAAAAAAAAAGAAAAAAAAAAAGGATTGGTTTTGTAGTGGACAAGTGTTAGAAACCAGGGAGAGGAAGGAACCACAGAGAGAGTCAACAGTAGGCTACACAGTGCTTCCCCATGTCTCTGAACTTCCCTTACTATGGGAAACCATGCAGAAACAGCGAGTTGGCCCCCATGATGCTGTACTTTTTGAGCTGCTCTTTTGGTTTGGGAAACTGTAGAGTGCAGGGCAGAGGCATCAGTTCTCCTAATAGCCAGTGCTCCACAGCTGATCCCTTCTGACCTCAGCACAAACACATCACGAAAACGACACTAGTACAATCCTGGCAGCACAACTCTTGACCCTCCTACTGCACTAACTGCCCTCCCCATGCATCAAAGTAGAACTGTTCAGACAGGCTGACCTCCCCTTTCCCTCTGACTACTCATAGATCATTAGCTCCCATGTGTCCCACAAACTTTAAAGAAGGGGAAGAGCTCTCCAGCCTGTCTCTGCTGCTTTGAGCTCTGTGGTCTGTAAGCAGTACCTGATTTAGAGATAGAAGCTGGGGGTGTGCTTGAAACCTATCTCCTGCCAAGCAAGCTGTGTACATATCTGAAACTGTACCAGTGGTGCATCCAGGCAGAAGGTTCCTGCTTCTCTTCCTCTATTTTTTGGAAAAAGTTTAAGCAATGAGAGACACAGAGCAGGTGAGAGAAACAGCTGAGGATTAAATGGTTCAGGTTTCTGACACCCTAAGCATACAGCTGCTTGGCTCAATTTTATGTTCCCAGACAATAGAAGTATAAACTTAGCCTTATCTTGTTAAGAAGTTCTGCTAAGAAATTCCAGAAACTTTAAAGAAGACGAAATGACGTTCAAAGGATACATCTAAAAGGCTGATCATCTCCCTGCAAGTATTAATGTTGAATCCATCACTTTTAATATCCTTTCCTGTACAAAACAGAAGTCAAAGTCAGAAATACTTTTAGACAAATACTTTTCTGCAGGCCATCCAGGTGTCAGCTGCCTTAAAATCTTGATAGTAAAGCAAGTGCTCTGCCATTTCTTCCACTATTTCCTTCCAACTGATTTACATGGATTTTTAAACAAAGAAGCAGGAGATGATCTTGGTTTTGGGAGTGGTAAAAGTCTATCACCCATATTAGAAGTTCAACAAGCAAGGAAAAGCCCAGCTGGGATGAAAACCTCATTTTTTTTCATTGTCCTTAGCTGACAAAGCTGGGTTTTGTAAGCGTAGATCCCATTTGTGTGCTAAAATACTGACATGAAGATGTTCACTCTGGAGAAAAGAACAACTTTGTCTCATCACTTCAGCCCCTGCCTTTGAGCTCCATTCAGTGCAAAGCACATAACAATACTCACTCTTCGCCAAAACTCTATTTAGAATAGTTTGAAGTTCAATTGCAGTCACTTCGCAGTCCTGGACAGAAAACAAGTTTTAGGTGTTAACATGAAAAGCATTTGAAGCAAACTAAACTCATTCACTGTCAGACATCAGCATTATTTTACTTCCATCCCTACCTGAGGGCAAAACCTTCTATTCTTTTTTTAACACCACCATTGCCAGCTGATATCACATAGATGTTCCTCAGAAGCCATGAATATTTCCTACCCTTTCAAATGGGAAATACAAGGTTTTTTAGGTGCCATAGGGACATGACTGAGTAAATGTTAACTTTTTAGCAGGTTTGACTGAGTTGAGGATTTTTTCAGCTATAAAAGTTCAGAAGAGTATTTGAGATTTTCCAGGCTTAAGGAAACTACAATCAAAAAATAAAATTCCCCTCTCAAAACTCACAAAAGCCTTCCTAACTAATAAGGTGTTTTCCCTCTTCATTGCCACTGGCCACTTGTTCATTAAGAGCAAATCTGAAGTGGTAGCCACAGGTTAGCATAGCAGCCAGCAGATACTGAGGTTTATAAAACACAGTAGGGAGCGAACATTCAGCCAACAGCTTTCTGATTCCTGGACTTCTAAACCAAAAGGAAGAAATTGGCCAAATAGCCAATTGTCAGAATTATATGCTAGCTCCAAGAGCAATTTATTTCACTATGCAATAATATTTTCACAGTCCTCACTCCCATCACCCATATTTTCAGTCATTGCATGCCAGAATTACTATGGGAACAAATCACATTTTGCACCAATAAGAGGGAAAATGTAATAGAGCTGTTCTATTGTAAAATAAATTGAACTGAAGCTGTGAGTTAATAAAAGGGGAGAACGGCCTGGTTTTTGAAGACCAGACAGTAGGAGGAATTGGCAGGCCAAATATTTGCATAATCATAACAGTGAGAGGTCCCATTTTTTTAATTCCATTTTAATCCACTTACCTCTCCAGAGAGTTTTTGAAACAGAGTCTTGAACTCATCATCTATATCTTTGTTATCGACATGAGGCTACAGGAAGAAGATGACCAAGAGTCTAATTTACAACATGGTTCTAGAAAGCAAGACGGGCATGTGGTAAAGCACCTTTACAGGGAACAATCTATGACAAGGGAAAATGAGCACTTGCTTTACAGAAATAGCAAGACAGAAGCAAAATCAAGAAGAGTCAGGGACTGGCTTTGTTTGGGAGTAAATACTTTCTAAAGTTGATGAAATTTTTTTCTTCTGTTACCAAGATAGTCTTATAAAATAGCTGCAGATAAAATGTTCCTGCACATGGCCAGGGCAATAATGTGACTGTCTTAATTCAGTACTTTCTTGGAAGTCTGCATTTGCAGTTTCTCTCAGGCTTTGGGAATACTATTTGTTTCTATGAAAAGGATCGCTCAATTCCCTCCTCACCTTATTCTACTTGTACAGGATGAAAGGACAGTTTAATGTATTTCAACCAAGTCTACAAGGGTGCAGTTTCTGTGCCATGTGATCCTAGGTACATGAAAATACATGTGAAACTAAGCCATAGAGATAAGTAAAGAATCAATGGAACCAAAATATATTTTTCCTGAGCATAAACACCTACTGTGATCTCAGCTCAGGAGAGAAATAAAAATCCTGAATTAATTTTTCTTTCAGATAGTGGAGCAAAGTCCATTACAAAAAAACAGTCTGCCCAGTTAAGGTGTTTACCTCATATGGTTTTGCAGCCACCATATCACCAATCATCCTAAGAAAAAAAGAATAAAATAAAAAAATAAAAAAAAACAGGAATGATGACTGTACCTTTTGCACTTAAAATCATCATTAAAACAAGCTGTTTTAATAGAAGGTGTTAGCAAACGCACAAAACAAGCCTCCAGGTTCCCTGTTCCCTGCATTCCCCATCCTTCCTCTGTCTCCGACTTTTTTGACAATATTTTCCTTGACAAATCCAGTCTTGTTGTTCTTATCTTGGATCCTGGCTCCTGTTTTTTTCACTCAGCGGCTGCTGTTGAAACAACCCTTCTTAAAAACATTATCCTACTCCCAGGTCTTTCCTCTGCACTCTTTAGCTGTGGGAACTTCTATTACATAGACCTGAGGTATCTAGTTACCACATCAGTATATGCTGTAGGCCACTTGAAGGTCCATGACTTTGCAACATGGATGTGTGTGTCACATATGGTAGGCCACAGAAGAAAACAGGTCCTAGAAATGGGCCTATTTTGCTGCTTACTGGCTGGTAGATAGAGCACAGGATGTGGGTCTCTCACACAGAGTGCAACATCTGACCTTTGCATTCATGTGTCTCACCAACAGAAGAGGAGGCTTTACAAAGAAGATACTCACTGAGTTTTAGCCTGTTTCTCAGAAAAAACTCGAAGGCAGAACTCTCCATTTTTGTAAGGTTCAAATGTGGATGGCACAATGAGGTACTCCCCCTTGGGCAATTTAATACGGCTGGAGACCTCACGTAGGTTGACATAAGTCCCAGACTGGGCTATTGGTTGGTTCCTTGCGAAGAAAGCACGGTTCAGATGAATATCTGTGCTATTTTCCAGCTGTGGGAAATGCGTTTATGTTAGAAACCATTTGACAATTCACTTGCAAGCCAGACATCCTATTTAAATTTCAATGCTTAAAAGCTATCTCAAGTTTTTCTTAGCATAAAATAATAAACCCTCAAGTGATGGTATAAAAGATAACCACCAGGGTTCTGTCATGGGAAACAGTCAGGCAGATAATTAGAAGAGATATGTATCTTTCTCTATAAAGATTATCTTTTCATGTGTCTTTGTAATGTGTGATATAGAATAACTAAAAAAATCATAATGTGCACTCAAACCTGGTCAAACCAATACCTATTCTTACTGAAGTTGTTCGTCTATTGAGCATTTTTTGCTTCCAAAGGCTTAATGTAAAAAAGTTTAAATTGTTGAATGTCTTTAAACCATTTATGGTAAGGGGTAGATGTTCTAATTAGGAGTTGTAGTCTCTCATTTCTTTAAACAGACAGAAAAGAACAGTAAACAGGACAAAGTAGAAATCATAAGGGTGAGACTTTTGGAGCTAAATTAGATGATTTACCCTACTTCTGTTAGAAATACTAAAGTTATTGCTTTGGATTATGTGGAAAATAGTACTGAACTTCTCCTTGATATCAATATATTATTAAATGTGAAACACTAATAGCTCACAAAACAGAAAACTGATATAGCAAGAAACAGTAGTGTATGAATAACATCTTTGCTTTAAATCTCCTATTCATTACTTTAGCTCCACGGGGATGTCTTTCAAAAAGTGTGATTCAGTGATCCACAATAACTGCTACATTGTTGACACAGAACATAAAACATCACACACAGATAAGATTTCTGGCTGTGTAAGATCAGAGCATAGAAAGATGTTATCAAACATTTTAAAATAAATCAGTATTTCTGTTGTAAACTGTAGAGTAATATGCCCTTTTCCCCTCTTTTGTTCCATAGATAAGATTGGATTTGGTATTTATTCAACTTTCCACTCTACCATAAGCTAAGTGGGAACTGCAAAGATTAAGAAGTCAGATCCCATATCTTTTTCAACATGTAAAGCTCATTTTCTCTTTGCATCTGCAAGGCTGTTAAAAGAACATACTTAATTGCTACAAAACCACACATTCATTAACTGAGAGGGAAGAATAGGGTTGAAAAGCCTAGGAGAAATTGGCAGTACAGAGTGCTGGACCTCAGTAATGAGTACAGACTATTCCTACTGCCAGACATCCCTGGGGTCTCTTTCTTCAGGAATGAAAAGTCTCTTTAACTTGGTATTGACATTTGGGAGGATTAGGGAAGGTTGAGCTGGTTTGGTTTTTGTTTTTTCATTACTAGGAGCCCCAACTCAGAACTATAAAAGGAATGAGTCCACAGAGTCTGGCAGTTCTTCTAAACAACATTTAGAAGATGCTACATTTTCTCAGTTTTGGAGTGCAAAGACTGTGCCTTCACCTCTCCTAAACAGGCAAATTCTGACCTCTGTTGTACACAATTAGTGGAAGCCAAATTTCAACAGGTATAAATGAGATCAGGATTAGGACTTGGATGTGTGTAATAAAGCCTCATGCCCCACAGTCCCTTGGAAAAGGTTATTCAGAACATGAAATAGTTATCCTGTGATAGAAGAACAAAGCTCTCCAGAAGAACTGTCATTAGTAAGGAAGAAATCCTCCGGGTAGCTAAATTGACACAGGAGGTGCTCATCCGTAGGCTAGAAGTCTTCCACAGCGATTACATACCTCCTGAGGAATCTGAAAGGAAGAGAATGAGTTGATGTTAAAGGGTTGGTACACAGGCACTTCTGTCATTAGAAATAAAATATCATATAAAGTCTCCTTCAGACACTTACTTTTCATTTCCACTTACAAACAGGTTGTATAGTATCAGTTATACGTGAAGTTCTGGCTTGCACTAACTAGAACTGTTCCAAAAGAAAATGTGATTTTCATCCAGAGGATTCTACACAATTGCTTTTCTCCAGATACGGTATTGTGAATGATACTATCAGTTGGATATATTTTGGTAAGCCTTGAAATGTTCAGTCAGGAGTATCAACAGGTTAGCCCTACTTTGCTAAATGAAGACAAACAGAATTTATTACAGCAGACTCTGCTAGCCTGCTGTAACTGGAATGCTGATGAAAATAGAAGGTTACTGTCACCAGCAGTTAGCCTGAGGATGACTAGATTGTTGTAAGGCAAATAAAACAAGTGACAAATTTCAAGATTTGTCCCTTCCTATATTAACTAAATATGTACAAATTTGTACCTTCGAATATGTTAGCTTTTTCAAAATCAGTTAGTGGTCTTGGAAGCAGAGATTCCATTGAAAGCCAAAGAGAGTGTGCTCCTAAATCCCAGAAGAATTTTTGGAAATATCACTCACACAATGCTTCCGAACTGCCTGAGACGGCCTCTGGGGACCATGGATCTTGTTCCTTTTATCCAACACACTAGAAGGCCAGAAGCTCATGGATTGGAACATTTACAGTAATTGTCACTACATAGTTTGAGCTACATAGCTTACAAAATCTTTGCAGGGCAGGTAGGTTTAAGCACATGCATTTTCACCTTCTCTTATACAGATATCTGCTTTAGATCACCATCCAAGTTGTTCTAACTGGACCTTCTCAGACACAGCATCAACTGCAATGATATAAATCTGCAGCAGCACATGGCCTGAGGAACTTGGATGATATCTGCGTGTCTACATGAGATGATCTAGTAGCTATTTCTTTCAAAAGAAATCCTTCATCTTGTTAAGCGTCACTTAGGTCTATCTAAGTTCTATCTATCTTAGGTCTATGGAAAAGGTCCCAGAGGAGGCAGATGGGATGAAATAGATGTAAATAGAAAGAAATAGATGCTCTGCTATCTTCTCCAGAGGTGTACTCAGTGGTATGAGCAGGCAAACATCCTTAATGTGAAAATCCTAGGATGCCAATAGCCTGAGGTGCTTGACGTCATGCAGATAGCAACTCAGAAACGTACACAGTGAGAACCATTTACTTCAGAAACTAGGAAAAACCCTTCAGAGTTTAGAACCATCCTTCACAAGATTTATTAATAAAAGTCAGCCATTCCCATCTGCGCCCACCTGTGATGTTTAATAATTTTTATCCCTTTATCCAGAGGAATCTATACAACATTTAATTGCTTTTCTCCAGATATGATGTTGGGAATGATAATACTGTTTGGAAATTCTTCCATTTATTTCTCTGCCCTCACATCACAGAAGTTAGAGGTGGCACTGTAGATTTTTTCCCTACATTATATTTATGGAGACAGAAGAAACACTGTGAAAATCAAAATAGGAAAAAAAAAAAAAAAAAAAGAAAGAAAGAAAACCAAAAACCCACTGAAACAGAACAATAGCATCATAGACAATGAATCAAAACAATTTTCAAATAAAAGGGGAAAGAAATAAAGAAAGCAACTACTGAGCACTAATGATAAGCTGTAATCAGAACCACTTATCTGGAATTGCCAGGCACCCTGAGCCTGTTCCCATTCAGATGCTGAAAAGAGAAGTCTCTCAATGAGACTGTTGCTAAATTAATTGCCTCCAGTTTTACACCTCTCTCTGGTTAAAATGGGACAAAAATTGAACCAATTTTTTTCTGAATCTTCCCATATTATGTGAGTCAGGAAGAAATGAGAGGTGTTCAACCATCTTGTAAAACCCAGTTCTTATTGCATTTTAGTGCTGAATGTCAAGATGTAGCACATGGCTAATTTTTTCCAGGGTAACAGAACAGAGAATAAAACCTTAAATGAGGAGGAAAAAAAAAACCAAAACTATACCTGATAGAGTGAATAACCAATACTAAGTAGACCTTCTCCCATTTTCTTCTGCCTCCTGCGGTTCTTCTGCATCAAGCCCACCAGTATAGTACAGCATGGTTCATTTAAACTCCCGTCATGGTCATCATCTGGTTCATCCAGACGGATTTTAAACTGGGGATTGATCCAGTATGTTGCTAAAAATCCCCAAGACAAGACAAAAAGGGTAAGATTTTGTTATTGTAGCCAAAGTGGTTGTCACTAGAATTACAGATACTGTTTGGAAAGACTTTTGCCTGGATTATATCCAAACTTTTCCAGTACATATGTAACATATGGTTTTATAGTTCTACAGCTATGCTGAATATCAATTGGAGCCATGGCAAATCAAAGCACCGTGGTGTTTCCTGGGGTGTAATGACAAAGAAGGAGGAACTGATACCATTAATTCTAGCCAGCCATTTATCTACAGGAAATATCCTTGGCTAAGGCTGATATTGCAAGAGGACCAAATGCCAGGCAGCCTCTCTAGAGGTCTAACCCAAAAATGAACATGAAACAACATTACAACACTGCCACAAATCTGTGCCACTTTCCTGGCCTTGCTTTCTCTTTGGAGGATTGCTCCAGTCAGTAGCAAAAGCTATGTAAGCAAAGAAAGCACACAAAGAAAAAGAAGAAAAAAAAAAAAAAAAAAAGAATTCTGCCATGAACTAAATGCTCAGTGAGCTGACAACCCCTGATGAGGAAATAAGTGTGAATTAGATTTTGGTTTAGATTGCCAAACTTCTGCTTGCTATCTATACCCCACAGAAAGCACTGAACCTCCAAACCTTTCCCATCTACGGCAACCCCCTGGTTCACAAGCAGTAATTTTCATGGGTTTGTTGGTTGTTTCACCAAATTACTAAGCTGGGTCTCCACCTGGGTAGTTCTGGCAACCCCCAGCAGTTGAACCCCGTCTCCACTGTCCATTGAACATGGTCAGGTCCCATTTGTTGACTTGGTTGCCTGTCAGTGTGTCGGGAGTCAAATTACAGATCTCCAGTCGTGTGAACTGCCTTTGAAAATCAGAAAACGCCATCCTGGTGCACAAAAAGATCAGGGTTAGTTCATCAGCCTGTTACAGTCAAAACAACTGCAGATGGATGTCTCTCCCAGTGGAACAGCAAGCATTGGCCCTACAGAGCTGCCCAAATCCCCATTTAATTGAACTGTTAAACTTATAATAGGCTTTTGGGAAGCAAAATTTCCCACTCCCTGAATGAACTGTATCTTGTGAAGACAACCGTTCTCAACAGCTGTTACACATTATGGGCTCAGTTGTACCATTTTCCGTCATCCCTGGTCATGGGCAATACCTCATGGATTTGTAAGTAAACTTAAACTTACTAAAACTGGTAGATCAAAACATGCAGTAAGATGCTACTTAGTGTGAGCAAGATTTGGTCCTTAAGAGTTACTCTGCAGAAAAATCAGCTCAGTTTGGTATTTTGTTTTAATTCACTTGTTGATGTTTGTTTTTACCATTCCTAGTAGGTCTGCATGAGTGATAGACATTGATCACCCCATGCTGCAGGGAGAGGTCTGTTTGCTTTTGCTACCTTGTGTCTCACACTGCTGATTGCACTGAAAGATGGTGAGCAATTACTTTTCTGGTCTAGGACAGAGTGACGTGGGCTCAGTGCTGACCCACAATAATCATCTAGCTCGGATGGGCTTTCCATTAGGTCTGGGTAAACAGACTCTTCCCCTGCTGCCAATCTAAACCTTTTCATTAGTGTGTAGCATTTAGGGAAAAAAAAAAAAAAAAAAAAAAAGCCTCAAAATATAGAGCATCTGAGGTTCATTCTTGCCACATCATTAATTTTATTACCATCTGGTCTCTATATTTTGGGTAAGCACTGAGTTATGCAAGCTCTAACAAAAGGTAATGTTTGAATGGGAAGGGAGATAAACAAGAGGCTAACAAACAACTCAAGCATGACACTATTAACTCTTCTGGTGCTGGCAGTTTCCCTCCATACAACTGAAAGGACTGCTTAAAAACTATACACTCACATAAAATGTCCAAAAGAATAAGCTGAATGATTCTCACCAAAACTCTCCATCATCTATTTGCTTATCCAGAGCCTGCTTTTGTTTGGGATCAATATAGTTCCATTCAGGAGCACTGCAGACAAAAGACAAAAACAGTATTGCTCAGCTGTATTTCATTTTGCAACAAGATCAGACAGTTTCTGCTTTCAGTCACACCTGACAAAGGACTATGTATTTCTGCAACAACTAGACCTTCTGCCCCTTCCAGGGGAGGTACACACTGCAACATACCAAACAGGGCTGGAATCAGGCTGCAACCATATTTTCAACAAATAAGCCTTGAATTGAATCATCATTGTCAGGTGCCAAAACGTACGTATCAGAGACTGTCTGGATTAAGTAACATGCAGCCTGAAAGTTGGGCAGAGCTTCTCAATTGTAAGAGCTATTGGGTTGCCTCATATTCTCCCTAGGGAAATGATAAAAATCTTCACTGCTGGGGTCACCAATGAACAAGAACACAAAAAGACGGAATTAGAAAATATGATAAAAAAAAAAAAAAATGTATTGCCTCTTTCCCACTCCAATACTGTGCAACAAGACAGATTCTGATTCAATCTGCTCCCACGTGGCTGTGCAGTTTGGTACCTGTCTCATCAGGGTTGTCCCATGGTTAAACAGGTGCAGCAAAATCAGGGTATGGCATGTGTGTGCTGGAGGCACATTATCTTGGAACCATAGAATGGTTCAGGTTGGAGGAGACCTTAAAGATCTTCTAATTCCAACCCCTCCTTGCCATGGGCAGGGGCTGAGCAAAGCATATCTGATAAAGATATGAATAATTCTGATGTTTATCTGTATTTTCTACATCAGCACCTGCACTGTGGTTAGGAAGGGAATATGAGATCTCAAAACAAGTGCTTGCAAAAAATACATCTTAGCCCAAATAACAGTAAAATCCATGCCATTCTAAAAATAAAAATAAATGAGGGGTTGTCACTGTCACTCCCATGAGATTCCAAGCCCTGACAGCTTTCAATAGCTATTCAAACTTCTGGTCCTTAGCTGAGTCAACATCCCCATTTCTTTCATGATTCTCCTGTAGAATTCAAATATTTGCCAGATTTAGAGCCCAGCAAACTCAGAGCTGAAGCAGAGGCACAATGTTGTAGCCCTGCTGTATTTTTCAGCAATGGAATTAGTTTGCCTGTCCTGTTAAGGTCTTGGCAGTATCAATCGGATCAGTCCGAGAAAAGTCATCTTGCAAAATGACATGGGTATGGCTTGCATTAGACTGCTTGCAGTTAAAACTTGGACTGTTCTCTCTTATTAGAAAGCTCTGCCTGAGGCAGAATGGATCAATACCTAACTTTCCTAACAAATTAATAGTGTTTTATTCCAACTGATTTACTATCTTTCCTAAACATGCTTTGTGATTTGATTAAACTGTATACTCCTAATTTAATTTTTAAAAGATACCAAAATATACTGAAGAGGGAAAGGCATGAGCATATAAACACCTACTTATCGCTCCAGGCTCCAGTCCATTCCACTTCACCCCAGGGATTTCTAAGCCTCACAAGTTTCTCTGGCCATCCTCGGTAATGTACCTAAAGGATCCACAACAAACAGAACCTGAGCACTCCCATTATTCCAATCATCGTGGAGCAATTGCTTTTCAGAAAGGATAAAACATGATTTGTCCTTGAGTGATGCAGTCCATTACAGTTTGCAATAGTTAGATGTCTTCCACCCTAATTTTTACATTATCCTGTGCCACCAAGTGAGCCATTAACTGCAGCATTCACCATTTCATATAATGACAGCAACCTGCAAGGAAAAATATCAGCTACAAAACAGTAGAATATCTACATCCTTAAAAGATACTGTACAACATAGCAAGGTTAGAAAGAGATTACTTGGCACGGACATCTCTGTAATGACTCCAGTTTCAGAGAAATGTGAATATCTGTGGCAGGCTGGGCAGGTGAGACTGATGGAGTTGTTCACTAGAGGCTTTGACTCTTTTCCCATTAGAGTTGATTGGCAAAGTACACGCTCCCACCTTATGCAGCATGAATACATGAAGCATTTTTAATTGGTCAGTCACAGAAAGACATCAGAAAGTTGAAGTCACCACACCGTTGCAAGCTGTTTTGTATAATGGCTGGTACAAACACTTCAGCCAGTCTGGATGAGCTGCAGAAAAGCTGGCTTACCTCCTCTGCCCCAGTGACAGAATAAGCGTGTCCCTTTACCAGCTTCAGACTTGTGATTGCTTCTGTTTCAGATGCACGAGTTACCTTGGGCATTAAAAATATTCACACTTAAGGCCATATATTGTGTACTAACACAGCTTTCATTAGCAGGTTAATATGGGGGAAGATATACAAAGTGGTATGCACAACAAGTATAAATATTCCTGATGCAATGTATATTAAATAGAAGTGAGATTCACAGCAAGAGTTCACCTCCGGAGTTTCATGCCCTCAAATATGCAGTCAGAGAGTCTGAACAGCAGAGACTTAATTAAATTTAAATCTAGAACCAATTCCCCTTTCAGGTAACAGATCCAGTCACCTGCAGAGATATGCACATGTGAACTCAGCTCAAACCCACCTTGGTTAGGATCCAGCATATCAAAATCAGAGCTCTGGTAATCCTACATGCCATAAGCCAGGATTCAAAACAAGATTATGAAACAGCATATGAAAAGCATGGAGTTTCCAAAACACATACAGACATCGTCTGTAACTTGAGAGAGTTTGTAGGTATCAATTATTTTTTTGATTGAAAATAAAAGCCAGAGTCAGAGTACAAGCTATAGCAAAGTACCCAAGTCAGGTACAAACCAAGGAGTGTATGGAGCTGAAATTACGCATAATTTGAATGGGAAAAGGTACTCAGAGAATGAGAACAGAGTTCAGGAAGACCAGTCCCTTGCTCATTATTCTAAGCATTATAACAGACTGTCTTATAAAAAGGGAGGCATGATGGGAGCTCTTTTTTTGGACCTTGTCCAAAATTTTTATAACTGAAATCAATTAAGTCTGCCACTGATTTCTGTTTGCTTTTAATTCAGACCTTCCTCCTTATGCCTAACATTGGTACAAGCCTTCATTACAAAGAGAAGGGAAGGGAAGGGAAGAGAAGGGAAGGGAAGGGAAGGGAAGGGAAGGGAAGGGAAGGGAAGGGAAGGGAAGGGAAGGGAAGGGAAGGGAAGGGAAGGGAAGGGAAGGGAAGGGAAGGGAAGGGAAGGGAAGGGAAGGGAAGGGAAGGGAAGGGAAGGGAAGGGAAGGGAAGGGAAGGGAAGGGAAGGGAAGGGAAGGGAAGGGAAGGGAAGGGAAGGAAGGAAGGGAAGGGAAGGGAAAGGAAGGGAAGGGAAGGGAAGGGAAGGGAAATGGCAGTCTCACATCAATGGAACAGCCAAGAAGTGACCCAGCTCTCAGAGCCTTCTGGATGATTTGGTACAAGTTTGAAGGAGCCCTCTTCAGATTATAGGACTCAGAGATGCCTCCAGTAAAGTCCTCAAACCCTTCTATAGTGGACCCTCCAGTGAGAGCTTCGTAAGAGCCGTTTAGCCTGTGTGGGGAAATGACAGAGATATGTATGGGGCCATCTCCACTTGTAAGCATGTGCACTGCAGAAAGAAATAATTGATTATCTGTAGGTCTGTCTGATCATCAGTGTGATCAGACAACTTTTGAACACCCAGGAGTGCTACCTCCCAGCCAGCCACCATACTTGGCATAGGCCTTCTCCAGCAGTGCGCTCCAGAATTCGTTGCCTTCCTCCGAGTGCACAAAGAGCAGCTTCCCATTCTTGGTAGGCAGCCGGTCATCCACCACGACATCCACCCACTCCCCGTACTGCCAGAACTAACAAAAAGAAGAGAGGAAGAGATGGTTAGGGCTGATGTATAAATAATGACTCTGCACTACCACCTTCCTCTTCCTTGCAATTGAGGCAAATCCCTGTGAAATGCTGAGCAGGCTCCTTAAACACTATTAAAGAGTTGCTGATAGGTACCATTAACAGTAACTTCTTCCACATAACATCTGGAATAGCCCATTCTCTATGCAGAGATTACATAGTGAAGGGTCCAGAAAGCTAGTGAGTTGACAGGAGTCTCAAAAGTCCTATTTTCTTGTCTAGTCTTCTAAGGCCCAATCCACGGTGAAAAAAAAAAAAAAAAAAATCATGCCTCTAAAAATGCTGCAAGGAAATGTCACCCAAAAGGGGAAGCACTCAATAGTGCCAGTGCCTTCCGAAAATATTGGGAAATGTGTGAAACACTGCTAAGACTAATTTTTTGCACTAGCACTTGAACCATTTACAGTTCATTTACAGAATCTGACACAGTCCTGGAGGGAAAGGAAAGAGGATAATAAACACAATAACCCCTCTATTGAGATGAGCAGGAGGAAGGTATAGGTATGTGCTCTATAACATCTGTCCTCACCCAAACACCTCCTTTAGTTTTGCAGGGTGAATCCACACTGCTCGTGCTTGAGTCTAACTTCTATGGTCTGCAGGCAAGGAAATGTAGACAAAGCAGTGGAGAGGGAAGGGAAGAAGTAACCTCATCAGCCTAGATTCCCTCTCAACAGTTAGCAAGATAGATGTTGGCATGGCTCTCATGGTATGATAGTTTGGCTCAGTTTACAAAAACTGTGTAACTTGCTACAGCCCTATCAGCTGTAAGACAGCAGAGCCTACCCAGTGAGTAAATGTCGATTAACATTATACAGCATTTAATTCTGTTCTTTTCTTCACCCCATCAATTTCACTTACACACTAATTCTTGAATATTCAGCCTGTGTCAATGATAAAAAAAAAAAAAAAAAAAAAAAAAAAAAAAAAAAAAAAAACTGGTCTCAGCTAAACACTACGGTTTTCCTCTTTTATTCTCAGTACCCTAATGAGAGAGATACCTGGAAATGAAAGATGCCAGCATAGTCCTCCTGGAAACTTTGAGCTTTGGGAACAACACGGTACAGAACATCTGGATTCAAAGTCAGAGATGCAATGGCAGCCAGCAGCCAGCAATCACCTAAAAACATACACAGTCCAAGGTGGAAAAGTTCATTAAAAAATAACATTTCACTGAGCTGGTCCTTTCACCACTATATCACACTCCTACATAGACTAAAATGCCAGCATTACGTGTTTTGCAAGATCCTGTCAGATTCTATATTGGTTCAGCAAATAATTCTTGTTTTGTTGTGTATTGTAGGGTCTCTGAGGATGAACACGGTGGTAATTTTAATGGTCTAATTAGGCTTTTGCTATTTTGATTTTTTGATGAAGCTGTGAAAGCAGGCAGTTTTAGCTAAGCTTTCTAATACCTTCAGGAAACAAAGAGCATAGCCAGAGAGAGCAAGCGTTAGGGTTTGTGGGTTGCAAAGCCCAGCTGGGTGGTGCAGAGTAGATAACCTGTGCTACCTTAACTAGTCCCAAACCAGTGCAGCTAGGAGAGGCAGCGGCTTAGAAGGTGAGCAGAGGGTAAATGCTCAGTGTTGCTTGAAGGGGGGTGCTGGGTTCTTCATTCCTTTTTTTTTTTTTAAGCTGTTTGCTGGGTTGCTAGCTTGTTGTGGATCAAAGGTTGGGTAGGTGGAAGCCTTTGCTTGCTACTGGGAAATTCAGAGACTCGTGGATTTCTTGGTGTATTTGCATATTGCAAAAAGTAGGAAGCGTTTCTGTGGCTCTGTGTTACTTTCTGAGGTGTGCACAAAGTCTAGGAAAAAAATTTGCTCTAAAAGTGCTAAAATTATCCTGGTTCCCTGTGGATTATTTGTGCCCAGACATAGTTTCTTTGTGTAGGTGCATATACTGCAGAATGAAGTGGCACAACTCTTGCTTCATTGGAAATAAGATAATGGAGAAATCAAGGAAAGAGTTCAATACGTAGCATGATTTAATAACTTAGAGCAGTAGATAACAATTTATATTGACTTAGCCTTTATGTTTCAGTACCATGATTGTAAATATAAGATACTGGGACTTTTATAGTGCTTTCTGTTACCTGTACTTCCTGGGAGGTACCTGGATGCCTCCTATGAGCTGACCCAGAAACAGCTGATCCCAGACAGGCATGCAAAAACTTGTGAAACACCTGAAAAAAGTGCCCCTGGTGTGATGGCCTGTAACCACCTGAGCTGGCTGATCTGATTGATAGAGGTGACCCACCCAATGTTCATAGAATAGGCATTTCCAATGGGGAGAGAAAATGTGCATGTATCACCAGCCTTCCCCAGCACTTCTCTGTGCCATCCTGGCTGCTACATTCAGGGAATAGCATTCAAACTGGAAGGGCATAGAAGATGTCGAGGTTATCTTTTTATCCCCATCTATCTGCATTTCTTATTAAAATAATAATAATAAATTTAAAAAAAAAAATCTTGCTCCTCCTATTCAAGTTTAAAGAGGAAGTGTGAGACAGGACCTTGCAAAAAAAGCTGTTTCAGCCAAGAGCTCTTACTTGAAAGGTAAGGTTCCCCTTGCAGAAAAGAGGATAAATCACAATAAAAGCATCATGAAATGTTTTAATTAGAAATAGGAAAATAGTTGCTGTTGTACATATAGAAGAGAGGATCAAAAAGCTTCAGCCTCTAGAGCAGCTATGACCAAAAACCTTCTCAAGCTCACCTTCAACCTAATTATTTTTGACATTACTATGCATTCAGCGGGACAGGACCTAAGTCACTGGCTTGGAAGGTTCCTCTTAGCCCTAGACATCTGTGTGTGAAGTAAGTAAAACTGGAGAATTTAAGGTAGTGTGAAAAAAATATAAAAATAAAAGAACCTTCTCTCCCAAGAAAACATAGATGCAGGGAAAAAATGAGAGTGAGAATGCTCAGACTTGTTTTGTAACTATTTCTTTGAGTCTTTTCTTGGTACAGGTGTATGCCTTATGCTGTTATAATTTCTGCCTTTTCCTTGTAGATGTAGAAATAACGGTGTTAAGTCTGGGAAGTGGCCCTTTAGAGGAAGAAGGAAAGTTTTATAGGGTTAAACCAGAAGAGCTATTTTTTCCAGCTTCTCCAGGCATTCTTGTTGTTCCTGAGTGAAGCACAGAAAGCTGTTTCTGGGGACCTGGCAGAACGGGACTCCTGGTGTCCCTGCCATGTCCTCCATATCATGGTGAAGCCAGAGGTCTGTAGCAGTGAGGAGTTGGTGCTTTCTCAACAAGCAGCATCTGTAGAGGGTTCCTCTTTCCTGTTTCAGGCCCAGTTTTTACAACTGGTGAAAGGGAAATTGCTCTGGGCTTTGCAGAGGATAGCACATGTTTGATGCACAATTAGGCAGAAGAGTCAGTGAAATGAGAGGGGTATACTTAGATGTGCTATTTACTTCTCTGACTCAGGACTAAGCAATTTCAGAATCTCATCCTTGCAAGATGCCAAATGCAGCATGAAATCCTTTACAGCTCTTTTATGGTATGAATTAACATCTTAGCATCTGGGAGAGTGAATGACATTGGCACTTCGGTCTCCTAAAAACTCATCGTGCAATCCAACTTCCTGCAGAAGCACTAGGGGCAAATCTGTTTAACATGTGCTTGGGAAGAATTGTATTGGAAGAGTTGCAGCAGTGAGCTTGTCCTTAAAAATATCATTGCCTGCCTTGAGCAATGCAGAGCACTGTCTCTAAACCTTACTTGGGGGTGTAATATCTTTGGCTAAGCTTGTGTTTGAGCAGCTATTAACCTTCCCTCTGACAGGAATCAGCTGAGAATTGGCTGCTCTGCAGTAACTTGGTAAAATAAGATGCTTCACATGGGGTGCCTAGATGTGAATGGATTGGGGCCACCTTTATATACAAGTAATGCATTATGTTCAGGTTCCTGTGATGCCAGCATTAACACAAATCGAAGAAGATACAGTAAGCTGTCCATATCAAGGAGCTCCCAGGGTGGAGTCTGAATTGTGCAGGTTGCCTCTTCTCATAAATCACAACGGGATCCTGGCTTAGTAATAAGGCTTCTCAGCCCGTGATAATGATAAATCCTTATGGCTTTTTTTTTTTTTTTTTTTTTTTTTAATAAAAAGGCGCGGGGGGGGGGATATCTACTGACATCTCATCGTGTTTGGTTTGTTTTGTTTTCTCAAAGTTCACCATTGCTTTGCTGGCAGCAGCTATTACTGTTTTGTTTAGCACTAATAGTGCTCTGCCTGGAGTAGAGTGTGGCAACATAAGCTCTCTGGAAAGGCAGCTGATGTAGGACCCCTAAAACTTGTCACAGTACAGCTAAAGGTTATAAGTCAATTTCCAAATTGTGAGGAAATGATTCGATTTCCTTCCTAAATGAGTGAATTTTGGAGGGAGAGGAAATGAGGCCAACTGGCCAATGAATTATATGTATAATTAGACTATATTTCCCACACAATTATAGTCAGAAAAATGACAAGTTTCTGCTCACAACATACATTTTAAGTTGTACCCTTTTAGCTTTTAGAAATGAAAAGAAGTCTTCTCAGTATTAGACCTGTGAGGCTAAATCACCTACAGGCACATATGCTACTTCCTGCTCAGTCTCATATTTCATGAAGTATTAGACAAGTGCTAATTACAATGTTTACTGCTGTTACTGCTGAATGTGCTAAAAAGAAGCCAGACCGATTCCTGGATCCAAAGTAATTTGTAATGTTGGTGATACCCTTTATTACTATTATTTTGAAATGAACAGTTATGACCTTGAGTTTGAGCTAGAGAAGGTAAATGTGAAACGTAGCTGTGGATACACATACCTGTATACACATACTATTTTGAAGCACTGTTTTGACTATTAGCCTGCTTGAAATACTCTCTCTGCCTGCACACAAACGCAGTGAAATGACCTTCATTCTCAGCGTTATGTAGGTGCTTCCTGGTTCAGTGACAATCACGTTGCTGTAATGGATACACAGTCTTTGGTGATGTTGGAGCTGTGTGGCTCATCTGTGTTGATGATGTTTACCCAAGTACACTGCTTGCACAGGAGCCATAAATTTAATGAGAAATTTGATTAGTTTCAGTTGCTATAAAGCAGCACTTGGTTTCTGTTTAGCTGCTATCAAAGTGTCTATGCTCAGAACATCTGCACTTTTCAATGACATAGTAATGGAGGAGTTTAAACCAAACGTCCAAGTGTTGAGTTCCACAATCTAAACAGACAGCATAGGAACACTTCTGTACTGCATCCTCGCTTGTTGCCGGGTGCAGCAACAATGCTAGGTGTTTGGAAGGGATCAGAATGCAATACTATTGCTCTTGCTTCCTGCTTTGTCAAGCAGATTTAACTCTTGACTTTACTCTCTGCTGGAAGGGCTTGTTGAGAGCCCCTAGTACCTGGAGCATGCTACCAGGCACCACCCTCTTTGTAATTTCTGGCAGTGGAGGCTTTATCTGATTTGAGGTTTCAAAGAAAGGCTTCCTGTAGTGTTTTACGGAAATTAAGATCTGCAGCTGTGTACTGAACAACAAGGGACCACCCAGCAAAGGAACAGGTTTTATTCTCTTTGGGACCTATAGTTAGCTGTGAGTGTATTTTGTAGATCCAGGCAATCAACCCAGTAGAACAAGAATACAAAATACCCCTGGACTTGTGGAGCTGAACTTCAGAAGGTACATACGCAAATGTTTATAGCAAAATTAGTGAACAAATCCAGTACTATAAAGCACTTTGCTGCCTACAGGAGCTCCAAAGACTCCATTAATAAGTATCAGATCTATTGTAGAGCTGCTAAGCTTTGGATTGGTCTCCAGTCTACCTGGAATCTCCTCAAATCTGCCTTTGAGATAAGAGTAAGACAAAGCATATGGGTTGGGGTCCTCAGCTGAGGTGCACTGGCTGCAGCTGCATTGGCTTCAGAGGACTTGTGGTAGCAGCCTAGGTCAAGGAAGCTGCTTCTTGAGCCTTCAAAACAAAGGTGCTCCATGAACATAACTTGTGTGGATCTGAAAAACTATATCAATCTGAGAGGCTTTTGAGTATTTTTTTCTATTCTTTAAATTAAATTTATACCACTTCCTTCCTGAGACCCCCTGCAAACAATTCTGCAGCTAACTTATTCAGATAGCTGCAAGGAAACTTTCTAAGTCACCTTTAATAATGAAGACTGTGACTGCATTTCAAGTTGTTACTAGGCTATCAAAAAGATATGGTTCAAAGCACTTTTAAAATATTTCAGGTCTTTCAAGTTCCCATGAAACTTCCCAAGCTGATACTCATCTAGCCTATACTGTTGTCAAAGAACTAAGTTTAATGGAGTGAGACTGACTATGGGGTTTTTTGTTCCTTTTGTTCATATAAACCCTGACCTGCAGTGTTATTTTTAAAAGAAATGAAATATGTCACAGAAGATTATTAAAAATAGGCTCTGTTTCCCTAAAGGACTAGTTAAGAGGTCACACACATGGCTTATGTACATATGTAATCAGGGTCTGTTTCAACAGAAGTGTTTCACATGACAGCTTTAATAACAAGTCCTTTGATATTTGAGGTACTGGATCAAATAACAGAAAAACATAGTATACACCTCTGAGATGTAAAGCAAACACCTAAACAGTAAAAGGTAAGTCCCGTGCCTCTATTCTGAAGTTTATTTTGTAAAGGATCAGTTTCTGTAAAAGCGATTGTAAACTGCCCTTCAGAAACAAAAGTAGATTATATTTGTCCCCTCTTTTTTTGGTCTTTCTGCCTGTGTGAAAATATATATAATATTCTTTTTCCACTTTTAGTGACAAAGGGAAGCTTGTAATAGAAGCAGAAGCAAATTATTGGGCTTTTCCTCTAGACCTGGGGGTATTTTTCAGAACCAGCATTTGGGCTGCAGCCCACCAAAGGCTGGTTGGAGAAATCCCAGGAGCAGGCACCCTCCCCAGCTGCATAGGAGCCATTTGGGCCCAGATCTGTTGCCACCACTATTTGGTGCCTTTGGGCACTGCCCTGTGAAATGAAAGCCTGTTTAGCACAAAGGCCTGGGACTCCAAAGAGATGTTCAGGAAGTGACAGAATTGAAAAGGGGCTGAGGGTATTTGCATTCAGCTTCTAGGCTTAACACAAATAGTGCATTAACCTCTTCTAGTTGGAGAGCAGGTAGCATTCTTCAGTCCTTTAGCTTGTAAGCTGTCAAGGAAAATGAGGTTGTTTTTTTTTTTTTAATATTGTTATAGAAAAATTGTGAATTGGAGATGACGAGAAATGTTACTTTTATTACTTATCTGAACAATTCTCCTAGAATACAGTAAGTGATTCCCTGTATTCTGTTCCAGCATCCACCAAATAAATATCCTGGAGCTAGCAGATTGGGCGTCTTATTTTTAGCAGCTAGCATACAGGCCCACACACCAGGGAATTTCTTGGTGATTGCTTTAATGGTGCTGTGTTTACAGGAACAGCACTGGTATTATTTATTGTCAATAACTTGCTGAAATTGTTTGAATCTCATTTTCACAACAGATGGGATGGAGAAGCGGTAAGGTCAGGAGTACCATGGTAAGCAACGCAGAAGGGAGAAAGGCTGATTTCTCCCTGTCTCATCTATTGAATTCTCATTACAAGAGTTTCAGCCTTTTTGGCTCTGTATGCAGTCAGGAGAGGGTGCTGCCGCTGTCTTCGGCAGCTGGATTTTATCAATGAGGCAGGCAGGAAAGAGGCCAATGCATCAGCTCTTGGGAGGCAGTGGGAGGAGGTGGATAAAAACCGTTTGCATAGGAGCTTTGTTTAGGTGATAGCAAGCACTAGAGAAAAACGGGTAAGAAAGATGGTTTTGCTATGGTGGGTCCAGGAGAGGGTGACTGCTGTCTGAGAGACATCTTGTCAGCATCAGGCCCCAATTCATAGAGCTGGGCAGCATTGCTTTTTTTTGTTGTTGTTGTATTTTTCCACAGCATGCATGGTTGTTCCTTCCTTGTTCCTTCCTGTGTTTGCTCACAGCTCTACCCAAAACACTGTACAAACAGTAGGAGCATTCAACATAAAGGGCTTGGAAAAATTTGCTTGTTATGGATGACATTACAAACCTGATGTACTCCATTCTTTTTTTTTATTATTATTATTTTTTATGATGTGGTCCATGTTCCTAACTCATGGGCCATCCTGCTTGGCTTGAAATGGCACATCATAGCTCCAGCCCCTGTACTAAACCAGTTCCTACTCTGTTTCCTGGTGATTGTGTATTTTTTCCTTGTGTGAAACTGTGGCTGGATCTTGTTCTGCCTCCCATATAAAAATCCTCAATGACTAGGCTAAAGGGTGAAACTTCATTGGTGTCCCTTGGGTTTCTGGAGACTGCCTTCCTGGGACAGGTATGAAACCAAGTCTCTTGCTTCAGGGCAAGTGTTATAAGGTTAGTGTCCAGCTCTGTCTTAAAAGGTTAAAAAAGCAAGGAAGTCTTGCAGTCCACCAGGGATAATCTGCTTACTACCTGCAGGAGACAGTTTGGTGAGTGCCAGCTTTGACACAGCTCTTAAAAACCTATGTGCACCCTGTCCTAGGCAGCAGTGCTGGTTGTTTAAGCGCCTTGATGGGAAATGAGCACCCTCGTTGGGTGTCTGCCTTCTTTCATACTACAGCCAGGGTGCCTGACTCAGGGCTGTGAACTAGATGCTGGGACGCTCAGCCTTAACCTGTCTATAAGTAGACAAGAAAATCATCTGTCAATGAGGAATTTTTAAAATAAGCTTCATGTTTTGGAAGAAGAAAGGGGGGGAAAAAAAGTGCTGTACGTACCCAGCTCTCCTTGGCAGACATCTGTTCGAGTAGCTCCTCCAACTATAAACTGAGGGTTTGAGCATAACTCCTGAAAAGACACATTTTCAAAGTATGCATTACCCCTTCTGGTCTGAAAAGTTCCTACTTCTTGTTCATTGTTTCTGTGTAAAGGTTCAATAAATATTAATCAGTTTTATCATTCCTGAAAGTATTTATATAACTTTTGTCCTCAGGAAAAAAAAAAGCCTCCCCTTCCTCCTAGGCATTCCCTATGAGTCTCTTTCTAGATGGCAGAAATGGTCAGTCCTCAGGAAGCTTAACTTGGTGCCTCACGTTGAGAGCAGCTCAGGCAGCCACTTGAACTTGCAGAAAGCAAGAGTTGTCAGCTATGAGCACAGCTGTCTCGTATGTGCCCCATGTGTCTGGGCTGTGGAGGCAGGAACAACACAGGGCTTCTTTTTGCACGTGTGTCAGATCATGAATCTCTCTTCATGGTAGGTGTGATCTCAGCAACATCCTGCTTGCTTCTGAGGTTATCCAGCTGGTCAGCTGCCTCACAGATGTCTTGGCTAGGAGGCAGCAGTAGGTTACCTACCACACGGAAAAGATTCTTTTTTTTTTTTTTTTTCCTCCTCCTTTCCTCCCTCCAGACTGGTGATCTGTCACAGCACCTGGAGACAGTCATCTGTATATATGACATAGGATATGGCATATCACTCACTTAGACACCTGTTCCTTCTGAGCCACTGCCAAGTGCCACATACACCTTTCTCACAACTGCATCACCAGCTCTTCCTCTTGTATTACCCAGTAAGTCTACAACAGTGGAGTGTTTGGCACTTGCTGTCTGCAAACTAGCAGGCACAACCCACTGGGAGATGACCTTGGCAGTAGATGTTTATTTTGCAGGGGGCCATTTCTTCAGCAGGTCTCCTCCAGGCCCCCCACAACTGAACAGCGATCCCACCAGCCTGCAGCCACACGCACTGTTTGCAGAGGGAGGGCTGGGATTCGTAACCCTGCCAGAGTTCAGCCCTCAGTCATTGCTAGCCATGCTGCATTTGTAATGGCCTCCACCTGCAGCAGACACAGTTTTCTTGCATGGGGAGCAAAATAGAATTTAGTGAGCTATCTGAGGTTTCCATTTGCCCAAGACAGGCAAAATCAAGGGGTACATTCACACTGCTTGTTGCTGAATCACCTGGTGATGTGTTGAAGCAGGTTTGCAAGGGCAGAAACTCAGAGTTACTGAATCTGCAAATTTCTTTTTCTAATTTTTAGGTAGGGAAAAAATTAGGGCATGAACTTTTCCTGCATACTCCTAGCTCCTACCCCCCATCAGAGGAAGGTAAATTAATTTTGTTGTTATTTTTTCCTTCTTCCTTCTCTTCTTACTTTTTCTTGATGTTGCCGGGAGGGGAAAAATGATGGAGGAGTAACAAAGTATGTACAGAAACAAATGATTGAAAAATGAAAGCGCATAAAAATCTTTGAAGTCCAGATTTCATGGCTTAAAAATAAATAAATAAATAAATACACAGTGTCTTAAAAATTCAATGCATTTTTTTTCCTGATGAAAATGACTATTTTAAATGAAAAGCCATTTAGGGATGTGTCTGGGCAATAACAGTTTCAGTCAGCTGCCTTTCATCTGTTATAGGTAGACTGAAGTGGGGCAGATAGCTTTTTGGAAGTATTAGCTTAATTTCCTGGGGTGCCCAGCAGAAGGACCATGGTGTCGGTACTGTTGCAACTGATGGTCAGTGGCTCTTGGGCTGCCCTGCTCTGCCTAGATATGCAGAGGGAGTTTGTGTCCTTCCTGGATTGCACTCTGAACGTGTGGCTCTGAGGAGCTGGGATCAAAAGGGAGAAATCAGATTCCCAAGAGGTGGTTATAGGATTACTTGGTTTATGAAGGGCTTAGAAAATGCTGATTTTGGTGTTTTGTTTGTTTGCTTTCCCCCTTTTCAACCCTGCTTCTGTTTAAAACCACGAAGATAAGGCAGGATAGAATAGAACATAGAAACAAAACATACAGGAGCAGCAGGCATTCAGCATCAGCACTGTTCTAGCGTGGATGTGTCCAGGTGAGTGTTGATTAGACCTGACCCCAACCAAACATGCCATGACTAAGCACTCTTACCGTGGGGCGCTTCCAGATTATCCCCTGGGTCTTGAAGGAGTAGGGTCCCAGGTCACAGTAGCCCAGCGCAGAGGGACAGGCTGGGAACTCCTCATCCTTGAAGAGAGCACCAGCCTGAAGGCACCGCTGCTTCAGGACCTCGTAGTCCTGGTTCAAATACCTGACTGCCTTCCCGTAGGAGCCCAGCCCCTCTGGGGCTGCTCTGTCTTGGCACAGCCTTGCTGCCACCCTGGCCATGTCTGCCTGGCAGGGCTCCCTCCTCAGTCTCTGCTGGGCAGGAGGAGGAGGATGGAAGCAGGTCGCAGGCTGGGGTGGAGCTGGGGCTGCCCCAGGGGAGGAGGCTTAAGAAGTGTAAATATGTACCTGAGGCAAGCAGGCAGCCAGCCTGTGTTGCTGGGGGAGCGGGCACTGATTTGTGTGACTGCTCAATGGTTTGCTTAAAAGCTTGTGAACTCCCGGCTCGTTTCTAAAGCATGTTTTTAACAAGGAGCAAGAGAAAATTGTGTTCTTGCAGGCACGCCTGTTTGCACATTGAGATAATTGTACACTGAATGTCAGGCTCCAGGACCAGGTCTTTAAGTGCCCAGGTGACGATGCTTCAGACCTCCTTTCCTTCCTTCCAACATCTGTCTCTATGCTGTTGGAGGGCAGAACAACCACAAAACCTAGGGCTGGATGTCATCTGCATGGCTATGGAGATGACAGTGAGTTTTAAACAACTGAGTAGCAGCAGCACTAGGAACTAGTTTCTTGCTTAGGTGATCTTATTCTAGACAACTGTCTTCGGCGCTCTGAAAGTAAAGCATTGGTATGAATGAATTTATTGGCAGCAATAGGTACAAAAGGCTTTTGGGACCTTAAAGAGAAGTGATTCCTGTTTGTGTCATTCATCTCACACTGATACATGGGTGCACACCTCCTTGCTAAGTTGGCTTGAAACGTTTGTAGGCTCGAGAACTGAAGCAGGAGCAACTTTCTGCAGGGCAGAGCACAGCTGCACTCTGCTTTCCTATTCCATGGTCAGTTTTCCCTAGGAAAGCCCACTGCTTGTACAGCTGGGAGCTGGGTAAACTGTTGCTTTGTTTGCAGGAGGACATGGCTGATGACTACACCTTGGTACATTTAAACAGAAGGTGTGGGAAAGGGAAGAGCAAATTTTTAAGGCAAGAAACTTGTTGAGATAAGAAGTCCAAACATAGGCTAGCCGAGTTTCTTGTCTGCAAATATTTGAAGAGCATGAATGCAAGAGAGGAAATGAAATGACTCGGTCAGTCCCAAGTGGGCACTGGTAGGAAAGACTGGGCTGGGGGAATTATGCTGGATATCTAAAAACTAAACGAGATGCTGTTGAAATTGAGTAAAGAAGAGTGGTCAGGATTTCATTTCTATTACATTTCAGTATTTCTACATCTGTTTGTGTATTGAATCAGAATGAAAAGTCGATTAAGAAAGGGCTGAAAAGGGTGGGTTTTTTTCCACTATGGATTTTTTTTTCCTGAAAAATAGACTCATTTGGAGTTACCCCCTTTCTCTGATCATGGGGCAGAATACTTGTCTCACTCACTCCCTGCACCAAATTCTTACTCTATTTCCTATGTTTTTGTGGCCCAGAGAAAAGCTTCCATTTTGCTGTGATTGCTGCAAGCCTTGGCAATGTTGTACATGGAAAAGCAAGGTGCTCTGGTATTTTAAAATTGCCATTTTGGTCAAGAATTCTTTATTTCCCATGTATGGTTTTGGACATACAGAGCATGCAGCGTATCAAATGTAACTCCAGTTGCCACTGGATGTGAGTGGCACAGAAGGGGTGAAACCTACAGCATCACTAGCACACTGAAGTGTGATATAATGCAAATATAATCAAATTTTAATCTTCAGAAATGGCAGTAAAATATGCCATAGGATTTTTCCCATTCTGTATCTCACATTTGGGAAGAGGCTGAGGACAATTATTTTCTCTGATGGAGGCTTGAACCAGGTAGCCACCCGGTATGTCCACCACAAACCACTGCTCCCAGTAATCTGTAGGAGTGCATTTTAAATCCATTTTCAAGCTTGATTAGCAGCAGCATGACCTACATATGATACACAAGCACCATCTAGAGGACATAAAGAAAAAGAAAAGGTGATGACACTACAGTTGGCTTCTCTTAGCAACTAACATATGTGCTATTGAGGGGGAAAGGTTTTAGGTTTTCCATGACTCAAATTGCTGCTAGAGTGGTATTAACCCCTACGGGAAATAGGAACCAGGAGGAAAAAAAAAAAAAAAAAGATAAAAAAAAATTATTCTAATGTGTTACCTCTGGGACTTACATATTTTTGTCCAGCTCTTCATGCTTTTCTTCACCTTTTTCCCTTTTTTGATAATAGCAAGAGGGTGAGATAATAGGGAAGAACAGAATGAACCAGGAAAAGGCATCATCTTGTTTTCAAAGAAGAATCTGCGAATTATATTAAATCAAAACTGTTCCATATCTGTGGAAATCCTTAGAAGAAAATAACTGCCACTTATCTAATGGTTCTAGACATTTTTGCTGTAGTGCATTAGAGGGAAATGTCATAGCCCTCCTGCACTGCAGCACTCCGCTAATGAGAATTAAAGCAGCTTAGCAGTATTGTAGACCTTACACTGTGAAAAGGGATTAGCTTGACTTAAAGAGCTCATATCCTCGTGTTCTGGATATATGGGCTCCTATGCATCATTTTACTCTGGAAATAGAGTGACTATTAATAGGCAGACCAGTGTCAGCTATGAAACAGCCTAAACGTGTATCTATAAGGTTATTCTTTTACAGTCGTTGCCCAAGATATGAAGTTCCACAACACAGAGGGGCTGATCCAAGGGTGGAGTTACAGCCCTGCAGGGAGCTGGGAAGTGCATTACACAAGATGACCCAGGCCGTGCCACCACCTCTTGCTCTCTTGGCTGGTGCTGCAGTCTTGCACTGATGAAGAAACCTCTAGCTCCAGAGGAGAAAGCAATTCTCTTTGTTGTGAAACATCACTGCTGCAAGCCTCCTCCTTTGGGACACCACCCTCATGCTACTGTGCTCCTAGGGGAGGAGAGCAGGAGCCCAGCAGGACGGCTTGGTGGGTAGGCTGTTCAGTTGGCTACTTACACAGTCAGCTTCCCACAGAGTGAGTGAAATTCTGCATTACACCAACATGTCCTTGTCTGTCATCAAACCACCTGGGATAGTACAGTCCCTGAATGTTTGGGGCCACCCTAACAAGCTTTGGTGGCTAATGTCCTTCTCTGCACCATCTCAGGGACCTCTCCCACTGCCTCCTGGCTGAGTTCTTGCTGGCTCAGTTTCCTTCTGCCTTTGCTTCTTTCTGTTCTCCTCTCTTTGGCTCTGTCTTAGCCCCTGTCCCACTGCAGAGATGCTAAGAAAACTCTGGTAACTGACTGCACAGAGAGACCATGTAAGTTTCTTGTACACACTTGATCTTCTTGATCATTGTCCAAGCAAAGGCATTGGGCATGCTGTAGCAGACCCCAGAATGGTCTGTGAATGTCACCCATGGGGTGCAGAGTAGATGACTAAGAAAAAGAGCTATTATGTGACAAATCTTAACCTCACTGAAACTTCTGCATCTACTGGAAACTGGCCAGAGGAGTTCACAAACCAAAACTGGTTTTGTAGGCCAGTGAAAACCACTGCTTTAAACTGACCCTCGTTTGCTTTTACTGCAGCTCTGGAAAAAGAGGTCTGATCTGTGGCAGCTGTACAGATTTGAGCCACTGTGTGGAGCCAAACAAATGCCTTTTGCGCAGCACTACGGTTACTGTATCCCTCACAGTAGGATGCAACTGGCTCATTGGTTAAATTATAAAGCGGTGAGTTGTTATTGTCTCTTTTTTTTTTCCTAATTAAGTAAGTGGCCTTCTTGCTTATGAAATCCGAAAAGTCCAAAGCCACCAAGCAAGCGGACAGAAAGTGGCCCTTGGTGCATCGATGAAGAAAAACAACCACTTTGCAGTTTTCAAGGAACAATTCCCACCACATCTCAGCACACGGTATTTTATGATTCTTTACACATTTTTCAATCGATAGCATTAATTTTAGTCCACTAGAATGGCTCTGAACAGTTCTTCGGTGCGTAGAGGCCTCAGGACATGCCACACCAAATGCCGTGCCTGTCCTTCGGAGGCAGCCAGCCGCCGAGTGCAGGTGGTGGGTGCAGCTACCAAGTGCTCTTAGCCTCCCCACCACCGCCTGGGGAGCGCTCTGAAGGCGTGAGTCAGACCTGAAACATGCAGCAAACACTCTGAACCCTCCCTGCGAGGAATGCAGCACTGTGCTGGTGCCAGCACCAGCAGCACACCCCGAGCTGAAGCCCCTCTCGCCCAGCACCAGCTGTGAACGAACGAGCACTGACAGAAAACCGGGCCGGCACGGCGGGCCATAACCACTCGATGTGATAGCAGCAGTTATCACTTCAGCACCGGTTTGGTTTGGTGTGGTGTGGTTTGGTGTGGTTTGGTGTGTTTTGGTTTCCCCCTCCCCGTGACGCGGGGCAGGGCGGGGCAGGCCGCAGCCATGGCGGGCATGGCGGAGGCGCTGGCGAAGGAGCGGGCGGCGGCGCTGGGCGCGGGGCGGCACGGCCACGCCGTCCCCTACCTGGGCCAGCGCTTCGGGGAGCTGCGGCAGGAGTGCCTGCAGGCGGGGCGCCTCTTCCACGACCCCTCCTTCCCCGCCGGCCCCGCCGCGCTGGGATACAACGAGCTGGGACCCAGCTCCTTCAAGACGCGGGGCGTGGAGTGGCGCAGACCCACGGTAGGTGCCGGCCCCGGGTGGGTGCCCGCCGGGTGGGTGCCCCCCCCCCGGTGCTGCGGGTGCAGTGATGCCGGGCTTGCTGTCGTCCCCAGGAGCTGTGTGCCAGCCCGCAGTTCATAGCCGGCGGAGCCACGCGAACGGACATCTGCCAAGGGGCCCTAGGTAAGGGAGGACACGCAGAAATCTGAGTTTTCCGCGCCAGTGCTTCCTACATCTCTGTGCATCCTGCCGGATTTCTTCATGTCTGGTTGAGCAGAGATGATGCAGACTGGTTTTCTGGTGCGTCTCTGAATGCTGCCAGCTCTTGCAGCCCTGCAAACCTGGCGAGTCACAGAATGCAGACAAGAAGGGATTCCCTGCTGCTTGCCAGCGCTCAGGGAACAGCAAACATGGGCTATCTGGAGAGGAACGGGTGTACACGCCCAGCCCCACCTGCAAGCTCTCTGCTTTTGCCATGTATGCTACTGAGTTTGTACGGCAGCGCTTTATTTCTATAAAAGCAGCAT